ACGACTCCAAGATTCATGCCACTGGGGAGATCGCTCTTTGCGATGAAATCCGATATGATGCGGGCGAAAGGTGGGGCGTGAAGAAATCGCGCTCGGCGAAGAACATGACCACCCGTTCGACCCAGAAAGAAGGGACGATGCTGGGGCAGGCCAGCGCGCTTTTGGCGATCGCGCCGCTGCGCCTACCCTTCGGCAAGTGACGAACGTGACTTTCAGCATGTTCGAATCCCGCCCAGTGCTGCAAAGTCCATGGAAACAGCGAAGAGCCACCAAGCAATCACCCCTGATGCCTCGGAGAGTTTAATCCCCGATCTCGTTACTGATGTCGGTCAGTCCTACCTCCACGACGGCACGAGGAAAAGCAACTTCAGAGCGGGTTCGCAGACGTCAAGAAGAACCAGAGAAGATGATGCACATGGCGGATGCACGAACGGTGCAAAGAGACATCCCCCTTTGCCGTCGCGAGCGCTCAAGACCGGCGGTAACCCACCAGCGGTCGGCGGCATTCGACGGGTAAGTCTATCGGGCCAGAAGATCAGAGAGAGGTTGACTTCCCCGCCCCAACGACCACCGTCAGAAAAGATCAGGTCCAGTAGGGATCAGTTGAAATTGTTGTTGTTGAGCTCGGATGAGAGCCTATCCACGAGGGCGAGGAGCGACCGGCGCCCGGCAAACCAGGGCGAGGTCCCCGCCGAGAGCCTCGACCAGGTCTGGTGTCTCGAGCGCCAGCGCGTTTGCTTTGTAGAATGAGCGTTGACGACCCGTTCCCAAGTGTGGATCTACAGCCGAGCACCGAGGCCCAGGCGGGTCGGGAGATTGCGCCAACCTTGCCTTGTTCTTGGCGAGTCCCCAGGACTTGCAAGGAATGCAGCGTGGATTTCTCGTGCGGAGGCTGCGTGGCGCAGGGCGACCACCACTGCGTCGCATTGCGAAACGCAGCGCGGCAGGCCGCTCGGCGAAGAGAATCCGTGATCGCATTCTCGCGGTCACAGGGGGACGGCGCGCTCTAAATGCAGCTGCTCGAGTCGTATCAGGCCGAAGTCGCCGAGTCAGGGTCGGCCTCGAGGTCGCCCAGAGTCTGGCCCCGCGCACAGGCCTTTTCGTTAGTGAATAGGTTCCTCCGGCGCCAGGAGGCACCAGGAAAATTGGCCATGTGAGCTGATTCGATAACACTCCCTTTGTGAACCCCTCGGTTCGTCCGACCCGAGCTGTGGCGCTGCGGGGAGCCAGGCTTCGAGCGGGAGAGGGAGCAGCATTCACCACGCAGTCCCCGAATATGCAAAGCCTGTGGAGCAGCCGAGCGGTCCCAGTACGTACTCATCCCGTGGCCCTCAGCGCGCCCCTGGAAGGAGGAAGGACGAGGGGCACGAGCAGGGGAGTCAGGAGGAAGAGGAAAGCGAGGAGAGCAGGAGGATGGTACCGTTAAGTCGGGCCTGTCCCTTTACAGGACGATGTCTGGGGACGATTTCGTTTTTTTTACTATTGCTGACCATTTGGGAATATGTTTGGACTATTTTTTATTTCTCGTCCAAAGTCCGTCTGTAGGAGGACACGCCTGACTTAATGGTACCGTCCCAAACCCACACAACGTGCACCATTAACACGAGGCGTGCTGTTCCTCGCTGATGCCAGTCAGCGATCCTATGTACCTGTCGTGTGCTGGCGTGCTCGAGACAGTGACTGTGCTGGAGCGGGAGTGTTGATTTGAGGTGGGCCGAGCTGAGTCGAGCAGCGGATGGGCATGAGGGGGGGAGACGTAGGGAGATGAGGATCACGATGAGGAGGGGGAGGAGGGAGATGAGGAAGGGGGAGAAGGCGGGAGACGAGGAGCTTGCTGCGATTGATGGGTCGGGTCAGGACTGTTGGCGTGCCGCCGACGACATGCGGATCGGGATCGGTGCGGCCAGTGCCGGTCGAATTGAATTGTAACGGTGGGCGTTTCGAGCGCTCCATGTGTGGAGCCAGAGTGGAAAGGAAAGAGCGGCTCCAACAGTCCAATCGCCTGCCCATCTCGTCGCCCATCCTTGCCCCCCTTCCTTCCTTCCTACTCCTCGTGCTCCCTCTCCCCTATACTCGCCATTATTCTCTCCTCCCCTCGCCCAGACGGGGGGAGGAGAGCTCAGGAGGGGGACTAAACACACAGACGCAATTAATCGTCGATTCCCAGGAAACTATGGGAACATATGGGAAGTGGGGGGGGAATACAAAAACCCAGAAAATACAAGAAAATATGGGGGATCTGTTCATTTGTGTGTGTTTATTTCTGTGTCCCAGGGCCTCTTCAAAGGAGAGCTGCTCCCGCTCGCCCTCCACCCGCCCTGCTCCGGAGGACGCAGCCTGCATCGCTCCCGGCCGGGCCGGCAACTGGTCCCAGGATCGGTGCGCATGCCTTCCCGGCCAAGGCAGGGTGGCGTATGTCAGGAGGGCGAAACAATCACACACACACACACACACTTACGCGCAATTTATCGTCGATCCCCCGCAAAATATGGGAACATATAGGAAGTGGGGGGGGGGGGAAGACGAAAGCCCAGAAAATATGGGAACATATGGGGAATCTGGTTATATTTGTGGGTATTTACTTGTGTGTCCCAGGGCCCCTTCAGCATGCTCTGACCTCGGGGCCGCTGGCCAAGAGCGGTGCGGGTGTGCCGCCGACGCCCTCCTCGCCCGCCGTTCTCGCGGCCGCCCGCTGCCCCTCCGCTCGCTGCCCTTGCCGTGGGGCGCCCTCGGCGCCTGCCGGCGGGCCGACCGAGCCTGGCGGGGGCTTCTGGACTGGAGGAGGGGGAGGGGGAAGAGGGGGAGGAGGAAGAGGAGGAGGAGGAGGAGGAGGAGGAGAAGGAGGAGGAGGAGGAGGGAGGAGGATACAGGGAGGGAAAGAAGAGGAAACAAAAAAAGAAGCCGAACCGCTCGAACCGACCGAACCTGGCGGGCGGGTCGCGCAGGGCCGACGGGCCGTCTGGAGGTCCTCCGCGGCCGGGCTCGGAGGAGGGCCCGTCGAGTCCGCGGCGGCCCTCCCGGAGGCCTCTCATCCACCACGGCGGGGCACGCCCGACACATCTGCTCGGGATGGGCTTCGAGAGGGCTCCGGGGACCGATTCAAAGGGGTCCGCGCGGGAAGCAGCGGGAGGGGGGAGGGACGGAGGTGGGTCGGACGCAGTTCCGAGGAATCAGATGATGTACGACACATCTGCAGTGCAATCCAGCCAAGGACTAGAACACCGTTCGTGACATTGGGACGTGCTCGGCTAGGACCTCATCATCACCCGGGGCATGGGAGCGGTGCATTTCCTCACAGGGTCCCTTAAGATTTGCCTGAATATGGACACTTCTTGCCTTGGCCCACCGAGGCAAACTACTTGGCTCGGCGAGGGGAAGGAAGAGGAGGATATTGAGCATTGTGCTAGCAAATCTTCTTAAGAGTTGAGTAGCCAGCCTGTCCTAGACCAAGAAGTTCTCCATTGGGCCTGCCTCTGCGCAGGCACACGCATGTGACGATAAGCAGGCGACAGACTAGAAGAAACGGCCGCGCATAAAGCCGGGAAGAACGCTGGCCAATGTCAGATTGCCATCACAGGAAATATAAGTCTTTGTTGCACAGCAGAGCACAAGTTTTGCATCAGAGCCTACCAAGGCCCCCCTCAGGGGTCAACAGTGCCGCGAAAGCCCCCGCACCTGGTACAATCCACAAACGTCGTACATCACGTGTGAGCGTGAAGAGGCAACGCTGGCTAGCAGCGCAGATAGTGCCAGACAAGATCCCTGGACAATGCTGGGAAGAGGGCGTCGACGGATAGCCCTGGGACAGGGCAGGGGATGGGGGGGATGAGTTGAGAAGATTGGCGACGAGGTGCGGCTGGAGGGAATTGAGGGAGAGAAGGAGGGCAGGGAGAGGAACATAGGTACGAGGGGGAAGGGCAGGAGAGAAGGAGAAGGGATGAGGATGCAGTTTTAATGTTGCTTCACATTTTGAAGCGGTTGGTGAATTTGACTTGTCTTTTTTCGTCACACGTTCCCTTGGGAGAAGCCGCTGGAGGTCGCCTCCGCCTGGCCCTCCGCCCTGTCTCCTCTGTGTCACGTCCTCCGTTGCCATCGCTCGTTCCTCATCCCTATTTTTGTTCATCCATCATCGGCCCCGCTTGCTCCTTCATCATCCTTCAGCCTCTGTGCTTCATCCCTCCTCCCTCCCTCCCCATCGATTGCGCGCTCGCAGGCTACAACCGAGGCCAATCCACGATTGACTGGCAAAATAAACGCAGTCAAAGCACCAGGACGTCGCATGCTGAGGGAGGGGAAGGCCGCACAGAGTCCTGCCTCCCTCCATCCTCCCGTCCAACGGTCATCCCTCGTTCTTCGCCTCTTTCCTCGCGCCTCCCTCCCCTACCCGTCCATCCTCCCTCTCTCCCTCCCTCCCTCCCTCCTCCCGTCCGTCCTTCGGCCCTCCTCGCTCATCCCTCGCCCTTAGCCTGAAGTCGGGCCTGTCCCTCTACAGGAGGAATATTCAAAAGTAGTCAAACAATAGTCTGGGGACTATTGTTTGAGTATTTTTGGGCATCTTTCGAGCATTTTTTGTCAATATTTTATTTTTCGTCGAAAATCCCCCTGTAGGGGGACACGCCCGGCACCTAGCGATCAGGGACTGGCGATGAGGTCCGATGTAGGGCGCTGTAGACACGCATCAAGCTGCGATGCAGCTTTCAATGGAAACCGCCCACGCGGTATCGGAGGGAGGGAATCATCCCGACCAGCTCGCCAGCCTCGGATCAAGACACGACCTGGATCCTGGCCACGGGCTGTGAGGAGGTGCCTCCGGGGATGTAGGAGGAGGGCAAAGGGGGCAAGGTTCTTCACGCAAGCTTCAGACCGGTGGGAGGAGGAGGAGGAGGAGGAGGAGGAGGAGGAGGTCCTGGAGCTCGAACTTCAGGCAGCGTCGTTCGCGTTCTGAGTTTGCAAGGCGCCCCGTGCGCCCCGAGCCATGCGCTGCTTGTCCACGGACGCCCATGTGCCGGCCGCGGCAGCTGCGGCTGCCGCTGCGGCGGGTGCGCCTTCGCCTGTGGCCTCGGCTGGCATGTGCTCTGGCGGCGCGCGCCGGCGGGCACTCCGCAGAGGCGGCCGGTGCATCAGGCGGCCACGCCGAGTGATCGCAGCAGCAGCTGGGGGAAGTTCGGAGATGGCAGCCGGGATGATGTGGCGGCACGGGTGTCTTGGGTGAGTATAGCAGCTGCGGGCAGTGCCATCCTCCTTCGCTGACTCTCTTCGTTTGCCCCACGATCTCTCTCTCCCTCTCTTGCTCTATACGCATGTATCTAATGCGACGGCCTTCCGACCGGTGCCGCCGACCCGGAAGGGAGACGAGGACGACGACGGCGGCGTCGATTGCGACGATCGCGAGTCCTCGTGGGGGCCTATGTTGGCCTTGTTGGCCTCGGGACCGCCCCCGGGACCCCCCGGGGACCGCTCCCAGCGATCCCCTCCCGTGACCGCCCTCCTTCGGCGGGGAAGGGGTCACGGGCCTTCCCTTCGACTTGATCGGTGTCCCCCCTATGGCTGCTCCCTGGGGCTCTCCTGTCAGGAGAAAAATAACACACAGACGAAATAAATCGTCGATTCCCTAGAAAATATGGGAAAATATTGGCAGTGGGGGGGGACACAAAAACCCAGACAATATGAGACAATATGGGAAATCCTGTTATGTGTATCTATTTATTTGTGTGTTCCAGGGCCCCTTCATCCATGGCACCTCTTGGGAGGCCTTTGTGGTACCTCTTGCGGGCCCTGAAGAGGCCTCTTGGGAGGCCCTTCTGGCACCTCGCCGTCGTCGTTGACGCCGTCGTTGTCGTCGTCGTCGTCGGCGTCGGCGTCGGCGTTGACGTCGTCGTCGTCGTCGTCGTCGTCGTCGTCGTCGTCTTGGCAACCGTCGTCGTCCACGTCCCCGTCGTCATCGTCATTATCGTCGAAAGGGCCTTTCAGGGCCTGCAGACACTTCCAGAGGTCTCCAGAGATTTCCTGGTGACTCCGAAGGCCTATGTAGACCTTCAGAGGCGGCCGTCGTCGTCGTCCTCGTCGTCTTCGTCGTCCTCGTCCTCGTCGTCGTCGTCGTTGTCGTCTTCGTCGTCGTCGTTTTGTCGCCCCCTGCGTCGTCCTCGCCCTCGTCCTCGTCGTCGTCGTCGTCATCGTCGTCGTTTCCGAAGGCTTCGAAGGGCCTCCAGACGCCTCCAGAGGTCTCCGCGTCTGAAGACGTCTGGAGACTTTCAGAGGCTGCCGTCGTTGCCGTCGTCTTCGTCGGCGTTGTCGTCGTGGTGTGTCGTCCTCGTCGTCGCCGTCATCGTCGTCGACATCGTGGCTCTCGTCTTCTTTGTCGTCGACCTTGCTTTCGTCTTCGTCGTCGTCGTCTTCCCTGCTCTCGTCTTCGTCGTCGTCGATATCGTCGTCGTCCCCGTCTTCGTCGTCGTCCTCGTCCTCGTCGTCGTTGCTGCCGTGGTCGTCGTCGTCGTTGCTGCCATCGTCGTCGTCGTCGTCGTCGTTGTTGTCTTCGTCGTCGTCGTCGTCCGGCGCCCCCCCCCCCCGCGGGGCCTGACCACCTTGTCGTTTCTCCCCCACGGGGGCCCGACCCCCCCTCCTCCGTAGCGGACAGTACGGGGGGGAATGAAAAAACACTCGAGGAGGATTCTGATATCCCTGCCGAGGACGTGGAGGCGAGGACGAGGGGGAAGCAGGGGAGACGGAGAAGCCCGGAACCCTGGAGTTCCGGGCTTCTTGCCTGGAGGGCCCTTGGTGGGGAGAAGTGCCAACCAGGACTCCGGAGTTCTGGGCTTAAGTCGGGCCTGTCCCTCTACAGGGGGGGTATCCAAAAATAGTAGAAAAAAACAGTCAGGGGACGATGACTTGACTATTTTTTGCATTTCTATATAGTTTGGGGGGCACTTTTGGAGCATTTCAAAAATAGTTTGAGGTGTACTTTTTGAGTATTCCCTATTTTTCGCCCAAAGTCCCCCTGTGTGGGAACGCGCCCGACTTCAGGCCACGGCGCCTGCCGCGGCACGGGCCTCGGCCCCGGCCCCGGCCTCGGCTCTGGCCCCGCCTCGCGCTCCCGCTCCGGCCCCGGCCCCCGCCTCGGCCTGAGCTCCCGCTCCGGCCCCGGCCACGCCCGGAGGAGGCGAGTCTCCCCGAGCGCGCTCCGCGGACTCGCAAAGTGCCTGCTCGCAACCGTTCGGAAAGCACATGTCTGCTTTGATCCTATAGATCCTCCGCGGGGGATCCAGATCCTTGTCGTAGATCCTCCGCGGGGGATCCAGGGGATCTGCGAGTCATTGTCCAGGGGGATCCAGGGGGTCCGGGGATCCAGGGGATCCATGGTATCCGGGGGATTTGATCGTAGATCCTCCGCGGGGGATCCAGGGGATCCAGGGGATCCGGGGTTTGATGTCATTTGTCGTAGGTCCTCCGCGGGGGATCCAGGCCATCTGCGAGTAGTCACTTTGCGAGTGGTGGAGCGCGCTCGTCTAGAGAAGGAGGCGCCGCAGTACCCACCTTGGACTCCAGAGTCTAAGCCCTCGACCTCCAGAGTCTGACCCAGGTCTACGGCGACCGCCCCCCTGGCGCGGGGAACGGATCAGAGGGAAGAGGCCTTCTTTTGAGTCGGTCACGACGTTATTCGAGTTTCGTCAGGCTGGGTCGCTTGAGGAGGAGGGGCCCGAGGAAGGGGGGGAAGTTGCGACGGCGACTCAAACACACAAACGCCTCACGCACGCCCATAGGGTCGGCGGGTTCCCTTGACAATGAAGGTTCCCCAGGCTTTCCTTCCAGTGCTCCTGGCAGCTCATGCTGGGCTTCGGTGCGGCAACGGGCCCAAATCGGTCAGGAGGGCGGCCGAACGGCCCCGCCCCGCGAGAGCCCCAGGAGGCCCCAGATGCCCACCAGACACCCGAAGACGACCCAAATCATATTCCAAGAGGCTTCGAACAACAATTACACCACAGAAAAACTCTAATCAGTAGATGGTCTTCGCTGAAATCGACCTGGAACCCGGGAGCCCAGGAACCCAAAACCCAAAGTCGGCCCGGAACCAATAACCGGGAACCCGGGAACCAAGAACCCGGGAACCCAGCTTGCTACCAAAATCGGCGGGAATGTTTCGCCTAAGCTTTCTTATTCCGCTAGGATCCCTTCAATGCAAGCACTGATTGGGGAACGTTGATGTCCCATGGCCTTCGTAGTATGATTTTGGGAGTGCTCGGTTCTTCGATCTGCCAGACGTCCGAGACCGCTCAGGAGGCCAGAAAGTTGCCGCATACTTGCCCGAAAGGGCTTCTGGGCAGTCCAAGAGAGCCCCAACACGGCCCCAAGATGGCCCGAAGAGAGCCCCAGGACGGCCCCAAGACGCCCCTCGAAGTATTCCAAATCGCGACCCGGTCGTTCAGAGAGACCGCGGTTGGGATCAGGGTGGTCTGAGGAAGCCCCCAGAGGCCAGAGGCCAGAAGGAACCCAGGAGGCCTCAAAAAAGGCCCTAAGACGTCCTCAACCATTTTCGTGATGCGCCCAAAAGGCTCTCCAAGGAGGAGCCTCCGCAAGAAGAATACCTAAGGAGGATGTGGACGAATTCACTGAGGAGGAAGAGGAGGAGGAGGAGGAGGAAACATGAGGGAAGGAACATGAGGAAGCATGAGGGAAGGAAGATGTCAGAAAAGGCAACAAGGAGCTATCGCTAAGTGTATCGTCGTACTTCCCTCCCCCTTTTCCTGCATACCAGTCATCAAGGGCCAAGTTGCATGGCGCGAAGCGAAAATGCGAAAATGCAATCTAGCACATACATACATATATATGGAGATACGATGTGTTGGCAACATCTCGGTCTGTCCCTCTTTGCCACCCATCCATCACCGTCTTCGCGGTCTCCCTGCTCGCCCCTCGCTAGAACATCATCCCTTCGCACCAACTTCGGGGGCGAGCCTTCCGCGCAGAGCGAGCGACACGCCGCCCGCGGGCGCGCTCGGTACTGCGCCCTCCCTCCCGGCCTCCCTCCTCCCTGGGCCCCAGCGTCGGAGTTGCTGGGCGATGCTGCCGGCGCTTTCGATGGGCAGGTGCGCACCTTCCGCTCTTCATTCCCGGCGACCGTCGACGTGACGCCCTCTCCCTGTACCGTCGTGGTCGTGGCCCTCCCTTCCCCTCAATCCTCGCGTCGTGCAAGCGAGGCGCCGCCTATGGGCGCACCCACCTCTGCGTCTTCATACCGACCACGGCGCGGACCCGCAAGGACGCCGCGCTGGTCGGGGAGGCGCTGAGGACGTGGGCCTCGCCAGAGGCGCACAGGGTGAGGATCGGAGAGGGAAGGTCTTTGTCTCATGCTCCTCCAGGCAGTGCCTCCTCCTTCCTCCCTCCTCCCTCCTCCAGGGAAGGCGGGCCCACGCCCACGCACCCTCTCGGTCTGCGGCGAGAGAGCCCGAGTCCTGCAGCGCCCGCTGCTCGGGTGCCGTGTTTCCTCTCAGGTAGGGGATCGACTGCAGAATTGATTTACCCCAAAAGTGGATTTTCTCGTCGAAGGTACGGAACATACGTATAATGCTCGTGGCGCGGGTTTTTGCCCCCCCCCCCCCCCCCCCCTTCACCTCCCTCCCCACCCCAACCACTTACGTCTCCCCCCCCGACCCTTCGGGCACAGCCGGCTCTCAGCTAGAGTACGGATGGCGAAAAGCGAAGGGGGCAGCGGGGTAGGGGGTCGGTGGATGAGGGTGGGTGGCAGGGGTAGCGCTCGTTTTGGACGCCCTTTGACCCTGAAGGAGAAATACATGCAGCTGGGCAAGGAAAACAGGAAAACACAGCCGAGCAGAACAGGGAACGCTAGGGTCGCTTGTATGTTCGCAGTCTTACGGGCCACTCAGTCTCTGGGGTCAGGATCTTTTGAGAACCCACCAGAAAATTTAGCTTGGCGAAGGACCCAACCATGTGCAGCTGTGAATCAGTCCGGGTATGATGCCCTCCTCGTACGTGATCGTTTTTTATTCATTGATTTGCCGATCGGCGCGGGCCCTCGCATCCCCCCCCTCCCCCTCGCCCCCGTGGAGTAGATCTTGGTTGTTTTTGGCGCCTGATTCGAGCAGGTGGAATCTCCCCCACAGGACGCACGGTTCCAAACAGTCGCATTAAGCAGAGGTCCGGAGCCAGACCCCCCTTTCCCCCCCCCCTTCGGCCCAATGTCGAATCGCCAAATGAAAAAGGCTATCTACGCAGCGCGCCGTGGGAAGGATGGGGCCCAGACCGTGCAGATGGGGGCAACGAAGCGCGTGATGAGTATGCCGAAATATTGGGTGGGGGCGCATGCGGACCCTGCCACAGGAGCCCTCGCTGAAGCTTGTGAGGGGTCTCGAAGCTCGTGAGGGGTGCGCCGACATGAGCTGGGGGACGCATGTGGACCCTGCCCTAAGAACCCCCTCGGCGGAGCTCCCTCTGGGGCCACGAAGCGTTGCAGGGGGGGTGCGCCGAAATGGGCTGGGGGTCGCATGCGGACCCCGCCATGGGAGCCTTCCGTGGAGCTCCCTGGGCCACGGAGCGTGAGAGAGGTGCGCCGAAATGGCAGGGGGGACGCATGCGGACCCTGCCATAGAAGGCTTCGGTGGAGCCCCCTTCACATGGCCACGAAGCGTGGGAGCGGTGCGCCGAAATGGTCTCGGGGACGCACTCGGACCCTGCCACAGGAGCCCTCGGTGGAGCCCCCACATGGGGCCACGAAGCGAGGGAAGGGTGCGCTGAAATGGCCTGGGGGACGCATGCGGACCCTGCCACAGGAGCTCGCGGCGGATCTCCCCATGGTGCCACGAAATGCGTTAGAGGGGTGCGCCGAAATGCGCTGGTGGACGCATGCGGACCCTGCTACGGGAGCCTTCGGTGCAGCTCCCTATGACGCCACGAAATGTGTGAGAGGTCTGCCGTACATGTGCTGGGGAACGCATGCGGACCCCGCGACAGGAGCCTTCGGTGGAGCTCCCCATGGGGCCACGAAGCGTGGGAGGAGCCCACGGTGGATCCCCCCGTGGGGCCGCGAACCGTGAGAGGGGTACGCCGACATGTGCTGGGGGGTGCATGCGGACCCTGCCACAGAAGGAGTTCCCCCTATGTGGCCACGAAGCGAGAGACGCATGCGGACCCTGTCACAGGAGCCCTCACTGGAGCTTCCTATGGAGCCACGAAGCGTCTGATGGGTGTGTCGAAATGGGCTGGAGGACGCGTGCGGACCCTGCCACGGAAGCCCTTGGTGGAGCTCCCTACATGGCCATGAAGCGTGTGAGAGGTGTGCCGGCACGGGCATGCGGAGGGCACAGGCAGGGATGGGAGGAGGGAGGAGGGAGGAGGACTGAGCGAGAATTGAGTGGGCACGGGGCGCTGTCTTTACAAAACGAGGACCCAGCATCACAGGATGGTTGGGAATAGTTCGGACCCTAGGATCGCACGGCCCCCGCCGACATTAAGCTGAGGCCTGGGCCATCTGCGTGAGCACTTTGCGAAACAGCCCTCGCCGCCCCTCCTTCCGTTCCGCCTCCTCTCCTCCTCCTTTCTCACTCCTCGGCTCCTCTCTCTTCAACATTGTTGCGCTTAGGCTTCGGATCTCATTGGTAAACAAGTGCGCGCGACCGTTCACACAACCGCTTTGCAACCCGCCAGTTCCCAAGTACTTAACTAAGTCGGTGTGGCAGTTGCGCTTTCAACGCGCAAGACGAGTCAGCCAACCGAAGAGTCAGACTGACCGAAGAGCGCGTCAGGCTGGCCGCCTGGCCGCGGGGGTGGCATGGGCGCTCCTGGATGCTGCCCCCGCCCGGTGCCAGCCTGGTGGTCTAGCGCGCAGGCTCGTTGTTTTCGATCGTCGGGGTTTTGCTACACTGCGCAGCCTCTCGCACACATCACCACTACAATATCATCAGCATCCATATCACCATACCATCACGATCATCGGTCATCATCATCATTATCATCATCGTCGTCGTCATCGTCATCATCAGCAGCATCATCAGCATCATCATCCTCATCATCAGCATCATCTTCATCCTCATTATCATCATCGTCATCATCACCATCGTCATCAGCAGCAGTTGCATTATCACCATGCCGTGTTTTCACACTCACACTTACCATTATCACCATGCTACCACCATTATCACCATTCCCATCCCATCATGACCATCGGACATCAGGATGGTCGATCGTGGTCTCGAGCGGGAGCCTCGTCTGTGAGTGAATCGCGAGGTAGTCTCGAGCCGGAGCCTCTCCCTGTGGGCCCCGCACATCATGTGATTAATCCGAGCGGGTCGTCCAAACCTTGTTAGTTGTCGTCACTTTGGAGCTCGTCAGGCCTGGGTCTTGATAATCTAGAGTGCGAGTCCCTCTCTATGGAGCCGCACTTCATGCTACCAATCCGAGTGGGTCATCTAAGCCTTGAAACCGTCGTCACGTTTGGGCTCCTTAGGCTTGAATCTTGAGGAAGTCTCGAGCAGGAGCCTAGTCCGTGAGTAAATCGCGAGAGAGTTTCGGGTGGGAACCACCCCTGCGGAGCCTAGACTTCGTGATACCAATCCGAGCGGGTCATGCAAACTCTGTAGTTGTCGTCACTGTTGGGCTCCTCTGGGTTGAATCGGGAGGAAGTCCTGAGCGGGAGCCTCGTTCGTGCGTGTATCGCGAAGAAGTCTCGAGCGGGAGTCCCTCCTCATAGGGCCCCTACCTCCATGTTCGAATTCGAGCGGGTCATGAATTCACAGGGAAGCGATGGGCTCTGAGCACGGAGGCTCCTAAGAGTATCCGATTGTCGGCCTAATCGGGCGCCGGGGAAGCCTCTTGCGTTCGGGGCGCGGGTGGTAACCCATCCGCGCACAAATCGGGCGCAGGGGGAAACCCTTGCGTCCAGGTTGGGGGTTGTAACACATCTTCGGCCGATTGTTGTATTGCCCTTCCAAATAACCCGCTCGCGTGCTCGTGGCTAAGGGAGCACGAACCTGGGGTTGTCCCAACGGCCTGGCCCGCGGGGTTGTCACAATAGCTTCGCGATCTGGCCATTGGAGAACGCGCACGTGCTGGCAGAGGCGGAGACGGCGCCAAGGAAAATCGACATGCGCGCCCAGGGAGGGCGTCGAGGGCTGTGACCCGCGGCGGGCCCTGGATGGGCGCGCGTTGGGTTCCTTGTTGGGCACGGGCAGAAGCGAGATGAACCAACGCATGCCAGCGCGTCCGCACGTGCCATCGATGTTTGTAGCGTGCGCGAGCGCGGCTTTCTCATTGCCAGCGTTGCTAGCCAGGGAATTGCAGGTCCGCGCTCGCCCTCCAGAGACTGGCCCCGTTCCGAACTAACACCGGTGTCCAGTAGTACGACGTGCCTTTGGAGGCCTCGCGATGGCTCCGTCGCGAATCTGCGATTCTTTGTAGCGAGGGGCGGTGCCAGCATCGCGCGCGCGCGTTGGCAGGTGATCTCGCTATCTGCGTGGCGCAGCTCATATTTTTCATGGTTTTCGTTTTGCGCGTGCACTGTGCCTGGCGGGGCCATTGCGCCTCGTTTGCTTGGCGTGCCGCTGGTTTGCCTGGCGTGCGCGCGGCGCGCACGCGCGCGCTTGTCGCGGGTGGCCCTCGAGTCGGCCGATCGAATTTTGGACCGGCCGACAACACTACATGACAACAGCACCGTAACACATGATGCAGCCAACCCTGACCATCCTTGGGGGTCGCAGTGGGTTCGGTCCCGATTGTTTGGTAGCTGTTCAAGAAAACGAGGAGGATAAATATAATGAGAAAACAGGTTGGATATCGACCTGAAGTCACGAAAACAAAGGTAACCACCTTCTAAATCGGAGGCGTTTTCATCCTCCGACGCCTCCCCCCGCCCCGGCCACGCCTCGCCTCCGGCCCCAAGGAGCGGACGGCCTCGAGGTCCGACTCCTGGAGGCCGAACGCGATCAGCACCGCGGCCTGAGGCGCGCGCCCTCGTGCCTGCGGCGCCCTCGGGACGGGCGGCGGTGGCGCGGGGGGGAAAGGGCGCGCGCGGCAACGAGGCCCCGCTCAGCGGGTTCTTCGCCGTGGGGGAATTGAAGACCAGGTGTTTAGTACTGGCCCTGCCGCGGGGGTGGAGGCCACGCAGGACACGACGAAACTGAGCGATCCGGGGAGAGCCTGGGCGTCCGCTGCAGTCCCGGCCGCCTTTCTGCCCCCCTGCTCGCCCCCCATGACCCCCCCCGCTGGTGGCTCGACGCTGCCTGGTGGCGGGGCGCGGTGCAGCTGTGAAGCTGCATGCTGGGGCCTCCTCGGCACGGTCGTGCGCAGGCGGGGGCCGCCGCTGCTCGCCATGCCCGAAGCTCCCGAAAGCGGCCTCAGTAAGGATATGGGGATCCAGCAGGGACGCGAGCTGCTCGCCCTCCAGAAGCTGCAACCACAACGGCAGCATCAGCAGCACCAGCGTGCGCCCACGGCCGAGGCGGCCGCAGCTACCTGTCCGCCGGCCGCCGCGGGAGCGGTTGGCGGGACAGCCGGTAACGGGGCTCAATGCGGAGCGGCATGCCGAGGCCGAGCCGTGCGTCGCGGCGCCTGCGGGTGACGCTCCCCGCGGCGCCGAAGGCCGTTGTTGGGGTTCCAGCCCGAGGCCTCCGCATTCGTGCCAGCGGGGCGGGCGCCAGGCGGGTGGCAGGAGCAGAGGGGGCGCTGGGGTGGACGACGTGGCGAACGGCGGCGGGCTCGCGCGCGTCATGGCCCATGCCGTGCAGGTTTCTGGCAGGGCAGCAGAGGGTAGCTCCCAGGCGGCCTGCGCGGGCGCGGGGATGGCCCCCCGGGCCCCGAGGCGCGGCCTTGTTCGCGATTTCAGGGCCGCCAGCAGCGGCGCGCCAGACGAAAATGGGGGCGGCGGCGCCTGCATGTGGCGCGGCGGTTGTGCCACTTGTGCTGCGACGGCCTGCGGTGCGGGCGGTGCGCCCTGACGCTTGGGTCGCGCCGCGGCGGCGCCAGGCTTCGCGATGGGGGCCGGCGCGCGAGTTGGCGGGCCGCGCGGCCGTGGCCTGGTCAGAAGCCGAACGCGCGCGGCGTGTTCAGGGGCCCCAATTCCGCGGACGCCGACGTGGGGGCCGTGGTCGACGACGTCGACGGCGTCGACGACGTGGGAGACGCCGACGAGGAGGACATTACTGGCCATCTTGGAGCACCCTGCCGAGGTGAACTGGGCCATCGAGTCTTTCGGGAAGAGCGAACGGGCGATGAAGGCCGCGCGCAATGAGCAGACCGAGGAGGTTGTGGAATCGGGGGGGAGTAGGAGATTCAGACTCGGCGCTCTTCCCAATGTGGTCCTGGAGGACATGTGCGGCAGAGGTGGTCGAGGAGCCAGCCGAGGCGGGCGCGGACCCTGGGGCGCCGCCTATTTTCTTGGCGCCCGAGCCTTGGGCGGCGAAGAGGGACAAGAAGGAGAAGTGGAAGTTCCTGAGGGAAAGCAAGAAGGGTTTCAAGAGGGAACAAAAGCAGACTGGCCCCACCTTGCGGGAGAGGATCCGCATGATCGACGAGTTCCTGGAAAAGGGCGGCGAGCTCCACATGATCCACATGATCGGCGAGCTCCACATGATCGACGGGTTCTTCCAGGAGGGCGAGCTCCAAGAGGCCGAGCTCCTGAAGATGAAGGAGCACATGCATGGAGCACATGGCGGCCGAGCTGTGGAACGAGCGGTTCGTTGGGGTGGAGGCGCACCTTGGGGACCATAAGTGGGAGCAGGTTCAGACGGGCCCCATTCTGCAGGAGAGGCTCCAGGTGATCGGGAAGCTGCTGGAGAAGGGGCGATCGGAGGGCGTCGGAGCCGAGCCCCTGGAGGTGGAGGAGCGCCTGAAGGTGCGCATGGCGCCCGAAGAAGCGCGCCCGCAAGAGGGCGGCGATGGGCGAGGGTGGTGACATCATCTGACCTGCTCGCAGTGTTCTGAATTAGTTTCGTGATAGTAATATAACGCTGCGCGTCGCGCAAGTGCACGCACGCTGGCCAGCAGCGCTAGCAGCGAGAGTATCCGCAGAGTTGTTGCCTAGCCATCGCGGTGGAGAAGTCCGTCGAGGGGCATGCAACCTTTGGCGCGTGGGACGGTCGAAACAAGAACAAGAGCGGTGCAATATATGCGGTGCGATCTGCGCTGTGTAATCTACGGGATGCGACCCACGATGTGCAATTCATGAAATGCTATGACGGTGGTGCAACCTACGCGGCGCGATTTATTTGGTGCAATCCACGTGGTGCAACCTATGTAGTGCAATTCGGCGAGGCCACGACTAGGCGGCGACTGTGCGGCGACGGAGACAATATGGCCGCCAGGCCGACAATCAGGCCCAGACGACGGGCGGCGACGAGGCGACTGGGCGGCGACGGCGACAATATAACCGCCAGACCGACATGCATGACCTAAGCGCAAACCCCGCTTAATGCTTGTAGGTTTATGGGGCCCGACGCCTTTTATCCGAGCGAGTCGAGTTCTGAGACGATCCCCCTTGCAGTTCTGAACGTTTTGGTGCTAGCCCTCTCGCGCAGGCATATTCGCCATTCTGAACTGGGCGCGACCTTTGCGCAATTCGCGACGTCATGATCCAAGGGCACAGGCCTTAGTTTTAGTGTTGTCATTCGTATTGGCTTTTGGGGGGGCAGCACCTTCAAAGCCACAGTGGACTTTCAGTTTCGCTCAGGACATCCTCCAATCAGCGGGCTCGTTTTTCAGCGCGGCTCTTATACAGATGCCCAGCATCGTTCCACGACGTGCCACGCAAACACAGCGCCCAAACGTAACGCAAACACACACACACACACACACACACACACACAACAACACACGCACAATACACACAACGTTTACACACACGACCGACAACACACCGAACACACACGACCGACACCATACGCGTTCTCACCCGCGTACACACAACACACACGCACGTCACACACGCACCACGCTCCACAAGCAACCCGCACACACAACGCACACACACACAACGTACTCTTAATATTCATAGCACGCTCTGCGCATCATCCACACATAACTCGCACAGAACACACACACACACACCTCGACACATAACGCAAGCATTCAACACACGGCACACACGCATCTCACACATGACACACGCACACACGCACATGCCATATATTCAACAACACGCACAGACACGTACACGCACACACACACACATTCTAGACGTTTCGCGTACCATCACCAGCCCATCCAGAAACGATGTCCAGGCGAATTGGGGTGACCAGGGACGTGCGGGACCAGGGCGAAGGATGGAGGCGGAGGAGAAACAAACGGCTGGACGGATGGATGAGGGAGTGGGGAGAAGGACTTTGAATAAGAGGGAGACGGGGAGGAGGAGGAGGAGGAGGAGGAGGAGGAGGAGGAGGAGGAGGAGGAGGACGAAGAGTTGGAGGAGGACGAGGAAGAGGAGACGGAGGAGGAGGAGGAGGAGGAGGATGGGGGAGGGAGGAGAGGAGGAGGAGGATGAGGAAGAGGAGGGTGAGGAGGAGGAGAGGAGGAGGAGGAGGAGAGGAGGAGCAGGAGGAGGAGCAGGGAGAGGAGAGGAGGAGGAGGAGGAGGAGGAGGAGGAGGAGGAGGAGGAGGAGAGGAGGAGGAGGAGGAGGAGGAGGGGGGATGGGGGAGGAGGAGGATGGGAGGAGGGAGGAGGAGGAGGAGGAGGAGGAGGAGGAGGAGGAGGAGGCTGGATGGATGGATGGGAGGAAGGAAGAGGAGGGAGGGGAGGAGGAGGAGGGGAGGAGGAGGAGGAGAGAGGAGGAGAAGGCGGGAGGAGGAGAGGAAGGCAAGCAAACGGGCCAGACGTCGTTGGATGTCTCTCGGAGCCTCTTGGGATATCTGCTGGGGGCTTGTGTTGGCTGCCTCTTGGTACGTCTTGGGGGTCTGTTGGGGGTCCTGGAGGGGGGCTCTTGGGCGTCTTGGGTGCCTTGGGGGGGCTCTTGGGGGCGCTTGGTGTCCTGTTGGGGGCCTCCTGGGCGCCTCGTTGGTCTATCTTGGAGGCCATCGATCAAAGAAGGGGGGGAATTCGCCTTGCCCCTCGTTAGCATCTCAGATCGCCTCTTGGGGCGCTCTTGGAGCGTTTTTGGGCGCTCTTGGCGCCGTCTTGGGGCTCTCTTGGGCCCCTGTTAGGGCCCTCTTAGGCCATCTTGGAGCCATCTTGAAGCCTCGGATGACCATCGGAAGCGAAGAGGCGAGAACGCACACAACATTGATTTTCCGTAGGTGTTGGAAGGATGTTGGCTTCTTTGGGGTTTCTTTGGAAGTCTGGGAAGCCTCTTGGAGCCGTCTTGGAGCGTTCTTGGGGCCTTTGGACGCATGTTGGGAACCATATTGGGGCATCTTGAGCCAACTTGAGCCATCTCAGAGGCCATCTTGAGCTTTTCTGACGCCCTCTTGGAGCCGTCTTGGGCGACAACGTACCCTCTGACACCTCGCAGCCCCCCCCCCTTCAAGTCCAGGGGAGGGGGTAAGGGGAGGGGTGCACCCTTCCCCGAAGGGGGAGAGGGAGGGGTGGACGAGAAAACTCCCTTAACCGCCTACGCCCAGAGGGCTGGTGGGATTCTGCACATGTGTTTGTATGAGCTTGGGCGCGCAGGTGCCACTTGTATGTATGCCTGTATGCATGTATGTATGCATGCATGCATGCATGCATGCATGCATGCATGCATGCATGCATATATATATATGTGTATATGTGTATGTGTATATATATATATGTATACATATATATATATGTATACAAATATATATGTGTATATATATATATGTATCCATCCATCAATCCATCCATCCATCCATCCATCCATCCATCCATCCATCCATGCATGCATGCATGCATACATACAAATACACACACATGCATACATACATACATAAACACACATACATATGCACATATTTTCAAATACACACATATGACGATAGCTGTATATTTTGTTAACTTGTATGTATGTATGTATACGTCAGCGCCCTCGACCCCTGCAGTTGGCCCCCTAAGCTGAGCTATGTTGTGGCCTCCTCGTGCTGCCTGCTCGTGCCCCGCCCCCTGGAACCCGGCAGGACTCCCTGGAACCCACAGGCCCCTCGAGGCAGCTTTCTCTCCCTGTCCCTTCCCCCTTGGCATCGCTCGGACGTGTGCATGAGTTTCCTTCGGCGAGGACCCTCGAGGAGCATCCTTGATCAGTTGGCGACAAAACCACGCACGAAACTGACAAAAAAAATCACGGGGAATTAGGGGAACAAAAGTGGCATAAACATAAAAACTCGGAGGTCCGCGCAGATTTCTCGCATCGGCGCTGGGACCCCCCGGCGGCGCCTCCGGCGCCGCCCCTGGCGCGCTCCGCGCGCCAGGGAGGGGGGTCCAGCGCCGATCCGAGAAATCCGCGCGGACCTCCGAGTTTCAATGTTCATGAAATTGTTTTTTCCCCTAGGAATGGACGTCCGAGCGATGGCGGGTCCCAGGACCTCCGACCACGCTGTGTACCAGCGCGCGGCGGCCCAGGCCTTCGACCCCGTGACGTGTCTGTCGCCCTGGCTCGCCCTTGGCAGCCCCACGGCCCGGCACGGGCCCTGGAGGCTTCTACATCAGGAGGGAGAACAAAAACACGCAGACACAATGAATCGTCGATTCCCCAGGAAATATAGGAAAACATGGGAAGTGGGGGGGAAACAAGAAAAACCAGAAAACATGAAAAACATTCAGGGAGTCCTGTTGTTTCTGTTGATTCACTTGTGTGTCCCAGTTCCCCTTCAAATCTATTCGGTATCGTTTAGTCGATCCCCATCCCCATCCCCTTCGAGACCCCCACCAGATTGCCACCCCAGTTGGGGATAAACTCCTCGAAACCCGACGGGAACGACCTATATCCCCATCTAGGGGGGCAAATCAGCCAGTGGGGCCCAGGCCACGCCGCTGTGGATGCCGATCGGATTAACGATACTCTTATATATACATATGTTCGTAGTTATATTTATATATATGTTATAGTGTTGAATAACCGGTTCCATCTTTGTTTTTGAATGATCAGTTGGTGCGGGATTTGCGCCAGCCGGCCTTCTCTGGGTTCCCGGGTCTTCGTTCTTTGGTTCATTTGTCCTAGACTCTTGTTGCTTTCCTCGGGTTCCCTGGTCGTGGTTCTGTGGTACCTTGGTTTGGGATCCTTGGTTTCTTTGTCTTGGCTCTTCGGCTCAGCATTGTACTTGCCCCCTTGCTCTCACGCCGCGCAATGCCAAGCACGCCACGCAATGCCAAGCAATGTAACGCAACACCGAGCAGCGCCAGGACACGCTAAGCAGTATGCCAAGACGTATGCCGAGCGATGCCAAGCAGAGCCACCCAGTGCGCGCTCCTGCAGTGGCGAATTTTCCAGCAGTTTGGGGTCGCGCGAGGCTCACGTCACCACGCTTGAGGCCCATGTCTTTTTCGCGTGGCATCGCTCGGACGTGTGCACTTCTCCGTCGGCGAGGACCATCGAGGAGCATCCTTGATCATCTGGCGACACACGCACGAAGCCGACAAAAAAACACAGGGAATGGACGTCCGAGCGATGGCCAGTTCGCCGCCGCCGCCGTCCGCCCCCTCCGAGAGGTGCAGCAGGCGGCGGGGGCCTGGGTGCGCTTCGTGCACCCCGGCAACGGCAGCGACTGGGGGCGGCGCGCGGCCCCCCGCTTTTGTGCGCCCCGTGCCGTCGTCGACGCTGCCGCCGTCGCAGCCGTGATCGTCTCGCCGCCGTCGTCGTCGTGACTCTCGCCGTCGCTGTCGTGGCATTCGCCGTCGCCGCGCGTCCTCGCAGCCCGTCCGCCCGAAGAGGACTTCTGGCCCCGAAGTGTGCGTCGGAGTTTTCCGTGGTCGGCCTCGCATCGGCCTGAGGATGTTGTTCCGAATCAAGGTTCCGAGCAGCAGCTTTCGCATCGCACGTGCGGACGGAGTCTTGCTCGCCCGCTCTCCCGCTCGTCGGGACGAGACTGGTGACAGATCGGGGTGTTCCTTTACTGTCCCGTACGTTCTCAGGAAGAGGGGTGGTAATGTCTCGATCATCTGGGCAATCGTCGATGGTACCCGCCGAGGATACGGATGCAGTCCTCGCAGAAACGCGCGCCAGGCTTCATCGCTGAAATGGGTACTGCACCCGCACATAACAAGGCGAATAGCCCAAGTAGTTGCGCCCTGGACGTCTCTTACCCTCGTATTCACAGTGGCCCTGCACATTCGAGTGCCACTCTCGCTTGGTGCCCCCTTGTGCCACCGTCCTTTAATTTTGCGAAAGCTTTGCGATCGCCGATGGATCAGTGACACTCCTTGGAATCTGGGCAGTGGCAATCGGGGCGTGGGTTCCTCGCGTGCGTCATTCGCGCACGCCAGACGTATCACCACCTGCTCTTCCATTCCCGAAGCGGTGCTTGCACTCAGGGGTTCTTCCTGTGCTTCGTTGGGGTAATTTGTGAGTGTTCTGGGTGTTCGTCACGTTGCGGCCCGTGGGCGCCTCGTGGGCGCCCCACGCCTGGGCGGTACAGTTGGGGTCCCGAAGAAGGAACCCTTTTCGTTGGGGAGGGGCTCCGTATTCCTTGACTGTTTCACAGCCTCCATTGGGTTTCCCCTAGGTTTTCGATGGGAAATCGAAGTTTAACTCGTGGAGAGAAGGGGCCTCGTTCCTTATTTCGGGTTCCTTGGGTCAGCGCCCCGACTGTATGCCGAGGTCGCGCCACGTCGCGCCACGTTGCCGCTTCGGGGGCGCCTCGTGGGCGCCCCACGGCTGGGCGGTATGCCGCGGGTCGCGCCACGTTGCCGCTTCGGGGGCGCCTCGTGGGCGCCCCACGCTCCGGGGCTACGGTGGGGGCGCGCAGCAAGACACCATATGCTTTTCGTCAGGGTATCCCGGTTGTCTGCGCTCCTCGCGCTGCGCGGTGACCTCCCGCAGCCGTGCTGCGTTCAGGTTGCTCCAGGTTTCCCCTCAGGTGCGCCTCGCGCACGGGTTCTCAGGGTTGAGTTTCTTGCAAGGGTTTTTTTGCGGCCGCGCCCGCACGCCGAGGCCGCGTTATGTTGCCGCCCGTGCCGAGTCGTCGGTGCCCCGTGATCTGAGCGTACGCGACAGTTTTCACCACGTAGTTTGCACTGAATAGTTCCCGTCGCATATACTCTAGACGCTTCGCGTACTTAGTCGCACCAGCTAATTCAGAAACGATGCCCAGGCGAGTTGCCCTGATCAGGCAAGTTGGGGAGTACCCAGTTGAACGAAGGCTGGGGAGCCGTCATACCCCACGGGGGAGGATGGAGGAGGAACCAGGGGAGGGGGAGGATGAGGGAGAGGAGGGGGAGGAGGATAAGGCGGACAAACAACAGGAAGAGGAGGAGGAGGAGGAGGAGGGCGAGCAGAGAAGCCAAAGGCCTCTTGGATGCCTCTCGGAATTTCTTTGGATGTCTCTTGAGCGCTTCTTGTATGCCTCTTGCGGCCTCTTGGGGGCTCGGGGCGGTCCCGGGTGCCTCATGAAGCGTCTTGGATGCCTCGCGGAAGCCTCTTCGGGCCTCTAATGGGAGTCTCTTCGGAGTCTCTTACGGGCATGTTGGAGGCCTTTTGGGGGCATCGTGGGGCCTCCCCTCTTGGGGCACTCTAGGGAGCCTCGGGGCCGATCTTGGGGCCATGTTGGAGGATCGATCAAAGGAGGGGCCTTCGTAAATTGCCCCCCCCCCGCCCAGCCCCAAAAGGCCAACATGTCAGCAAACCCTTGAATCACATCAAGGATATTGGTTTTCCCGCCGAGGCCTCTTGGGGCGTCTTGGGTGCCCCTGGGGGGCCTCTTTGGGCCTCTTGAGGGTGTCTCTTGGGGGTGTCTCTTGGGCCTCTCGGAGCCTTCTGGGCAACTCTCTTGCCTGTCTTCGGGCACCCTTGGCAGCCTCGGGGGTCATCTGGTATCTTGAAGGAGATCGATCAAAGGAGGGGGGCTCCTTATCTAGGGCCCCTCCACCAGGAGGCCAACATGTGGGTAACACCATAATGATGTTGGCCTTCTCGCCGAGGCCTCTTGGGGCGTATTGGGTGCCTCAGGGGGGGCTCCTGGGGATCTGTTGCGACTTTGAACGAAGGTCAAGGGACAACTGCGAGCATAGCGAGCACCGTGCCTACGTCCGACGTCGCTTGGCTCAAGCGGCGCTTCTCAATTTGACTACGCCGTCCGTGGCGTACCATTGCACCCGAGTAGCGATAAAGGAGACGTCCACATCCTTCGATGGTGAACCCTCACATCTCTAGCGTTATCTCTTATCTACCGACCTAGTCTTCAGTATGGGTTAAGTTATGGGCTGCCATGCTACGTCTACGACGCCAGCATAAAGCAGGGTCTCGGCGCACATCCTCCTTAATATCGTTGTTCACTTAGTAGCGGAGTTTGCCTCATCTGTGTGCGGCTGTCTCTTACATCATATGTTTTTGTACGTAACGACATACCACGGCACTGAGGAACATCCAAGTGCGGCGGCTACCAGCCACTACATTTCCACAGCTGATCAACACATGGTACTGTATTAGCATGCTCCTCCATGTCCCCACCGCGTGGCACCACGCTACATACCAGTGCGACCCCTACACCCATGTGCAGACTGACGGACACGTCAGCTCCACAACGCACCGACCACGACACCGTCTACTACAATATAGACATGCACTACGTCAAAGTTGTTCCCCTTGGTGTTATACGGATGTGTCTTGGTCGAGCAGTGGGGCACATGCAGCGGGGAATGAACGACGCACGTAACAGAGGTCCCCACTGGGACCCCGCAGGTAACGTACCATTCCGCGAATTCGTTCGCGAAGTACATGAGTGGGTCAACGTTGCAAATGGAGCTATGACTCCACCACAACAGGCTGCAACATTGCATCGAAGCCTTGGAGGACTAGCCAGGACCTTGGCCATGATAGTGCCGCCTACCATCATCAACTACGGCGCAACCATACATAGTAGACGCACCGACGGAGTTACGTTTACCGTGTACCTCCTTAGCGCCAAATTTGGAAAACTAATCTCGAGGACGAGCGACAACTCACCTCGGGAACCCGCGAACGAATCTATTCGGTCTTAGCTCGATCCGAAATGGCCAGGCTGGAAGCAGATGCGGTTGGTTTCAACGTGCCGCATTTCCTGATTCCGACGCTCCTACTGTTCCGACCTCTGGGAGGTAGGCCCCTCCCGAGCTCGCAATTACTACAACCACGAAACCACCACATGTCCCGCACCCAACAACAATATGATCAGCTACTGGCGCGAATGCGCAGCTATGGAAACACACGGAGTTGAGTGCGCCCTTGGAAGCAACGGGGGCATCGCCAGTGGCCACAATGCCGGCACGTTCTACGCAGACACGAGTGACGCGTCGGCGGCCACGCCGGGCAATATTTGGAGCGATCAAGGACCAAACGACTCTACGACCCGTCGAGGCCACGCCAGCATCCGGCTCCAACGCCGTTTGGCTGGCTGTTGCAAGTTCCGATTGCGCGCAAGAGTGACCCTTCGCAGGAGTGACCTGTGGTGCTGGCCCAAAGCGGGACGGGTGAATTTCCCGCGGTATGAGCTTGACCTCGCGTCGGCACCCGCGTCGCGCGATTGCGCTTGCATCTGAGCGCGCCTAGCCTGGGCCCACCCCTTACAATCGACAGCAACGCATACGCGTCGCACCCTACAGCTTGAGTTTATTACCCGAGAGGGAGCCGGTCGACCAGACGGCGCGTTTTCGGGACCAGGACCAGTCCCGAATCGCTGCCCAAATCCCCGACCGTCCAGCTTGAATTTGTGATTTCGCTGAATATATATATATATATATATATATATATAGATATATATATATATGTGTTTTTTCGAACCACTGAGGGTCTCCACTATCAAAAGTTATCAAAAATTTTCAAACATATTCTGGGCTCTCGGATGGGGCTGGTTTTGGCCGTGGCGCCTGGCCTGTTCAGACGTCGTCGCGATGCGGCCCGGCCGCCGGCCCCCGCGGGCGCTCCCGAAGCCGCGCGCCAAAGGCCGCCCTCGCCTAGGCTCACTCTTACGTGTATCCGACAGTTAAACGCCACCCACCGCAACTGCATTGCGGGTTCATCAAACCGCCACACTAACGAACCTTTCGACTCGTGGACTGACACCGACACCTGTGCATCATCTTGCATTGGAGAACTTGATTGCTCAGATATACCCCTTCGTGGCGATCAAGCAGCGCAGTATCTATACCTATGATATCATCATGTCAAAAGAACTTGGAGACGGCATATGACCAGGCCAGCTGAGATTTTGACGAGCAGCGCGACGGATCATCTATCGCAAGGGCAAGAGGGCGCGGACAAGGTGGCATCGGTGGCAGGGATCAGTGCAGTAATGTGCAGTAATGTATTTCTCCCCAGCAAGCTTTTTGCGCGTTTCCTCGACGGCGGCGGGCGCGGGCGCGCCGCGGCCAGCCGTTGAGCCGGGGCCCAACGCGCGTTTGAGGGCCGGCGCAGGGCCGTCAAGAGGGGGGCGGCTAAGCGAATGCGCCTGAGGAATGTTCGAGGAATTCTTGTTTGAATTTTTGGTGCATTCATTTTCTGCGCTTTCCATTGAGCTTTTGGGGCGTGCGCCAGGAGTGGCCTCGAGCCACTTTTGTGCCCGTGTTTTTTTTTCAATCGAAC